CGGGAGAAGAAAGGAAAAGTAAGTTGTTAAGGTAGTTAAAGATACCAAGAGGAAGTCCTGCTAAAGGTCCAGAAGTAGCCCCAGAAACAGTATCTCCACCAGGTGCTCCTGGTACAATTGATAGAATTTCGAAGAAGAATAGCGATGCAACAATAAGTCCTAATGGCAGGTTTTTAGTATATTCTTTCCCAACAGATACAATTTCTGTAAGACGAATATTCAGCATCATAACTACGAATAGGAATAGGATAGCAATAGCTCCAACATAAACGATTAGGTAAGAAATACCAACGAATCCAACACCAAGTAGTAGTAAGTAACCAGCAGCGTTAATGAATACAGAGATCAGGAATAGTACAGAAATTACAGGGTTTTGGCTAGTAATAACAAGGATTCCGGACACTACTGCACCAAATGCTAGTAAATCAAGTAAGAAGTTGTTCATATTATTTTATTGTATATATGTGGCTACATTCACATAGTAATGTTTATTCAGCTAATGACATACTACTGTTATTCTGTTTGTGTTAGAAATGTTCAGATGAGTTAATTAGGTAAATAATTATAAGCCATTATCCATTAGGTCGAGCAAATGCTGCCTATGTCGGCATTACCGTAAAAGCCGCCAGGAGGAATCGAACCTTCTTCTTTGCATTAACAGTGCACTGCTCTAACCGTTGAGCTATGGCAGCTATATATAAAGTATATTATTGTATTTTCTGTGTTTATTGTAGTGTTATAGTAATGTTATTTGAATATAGAGATCAGGTGAACAGGGTTCGAACCTGCACGATCTTACTCCCAAAGTAAGCGCCAAACCACTAGGCTTCCACCTGTAGTACTAATAACATTCTTTTATTTATATTACTAAACATTGTTATTTTAATTAACCTTGTGATGAACATGATTAGTGAGAGATGAAATATTGTGTTAGCAATGTGATGTTGGGGGGGGGAATATGGTAGGTGTAAGTAAAAAGCTATTTAGTATCATTAAGCTGAGGACCTTACGGTTTGAACACTTATGACCTATTAGGTAATACGGCAGCGGGGCTGCGGAGTAATACCAAAGAAGTAGTCTACTTCTAGCTTGTAGTTGCTTCTGGTAGGTTTCGTAGCTTATATGCTTTCAGCTCTTCTCCTTAACGTTTGTGGCTACCCAACGGTGCCGAGTATTAACTCAACAATTGGTGCACTAGAGAAACGCAGATCTAAGTCCTTTCGTACTAAAGATCCGTCCAGATTTAACTATTCTTCCGTCCAGAAGATAGGAACCATACTGACTCTCGTCGTATTGACACATATGTTATTGGATTATTTCCACACTAGTTTTCACTAATGATCAGACTATATTTTCACTAAATTAGATTAGTGTTAGGTATTCTTGAGCTTTCATGTGAGGGGAAATGTGCCTAGTCGTTGAACATCACTCAGACTCCTTAGAGTAAGAATGTGATTGTTGCATATTTGGTATTAACCATTCCATGCAATTAACCTAATTAATATGTTGGGCTCAATTAACCCAACTCGCGTACCCTTTTAATCTGCGAACAGCAGAACCCTTCCAAGCTTATGCACCTGGAGGATAGGATGAGTCGACATCGCTAATAATTATACTATAATTTTAATTATAGATTAGATCATATCTCATTCCATACTAGTGAATTCAACTAGTAAGCTATGGAACATGGCGTTTGATCGTTGAAGGATAATATTAACCATTGCTTAATGTTATGCTAATACTACTTCCCTACTGATTATCTCTATCTAATGACAAGACATTCCAGTAAATAGCCATTTTCTACTAGACTATTGCTAATCTAGCTCCCCAATGTAAGGTGCCAAACACCGCAGACAATATGAACTCTCGTGCGGTATCAGCCTGTTATCCCTAGCGTCACCAGTATTACCGTACTAATTTATGTACTTTAGACATTTTCATATCTAGTTGGACTATATCATTATGACTTTCTTCTCCTTCTTCTCTTTTTCAAAGAGACCGTGATTGGAAAATCATATAGTTTACTTAGTCTCTGAAGTCTTTACTTAATGTTATTTAATTAAGACCAACGGGTTGCCATTGCCATATTGTTAGGCTTTCCCGTAATTCAAACTATTCTCCAATGATTGTAATACTATTGTTATTAATATTAATCATCATTGAGGTCACACTATTATTAACTTTTATTTCTTGAGCGATGGCTCTTCCATGAGATACCACCGGATCACTAAGCCCTACTTACGTACCTGCGCGACTTATAGGTCTAGCAGTCAAGCATGTTTTTGCCTTTACACTTAATAACTGTCTTGTGTAAAACAGTCGATAGCCCTACTTGGCTAATTAGTTTCCATCTAATGCAAACATACCTTTGGAGTCCTTTGATACTATATTAAAGGAAACCGTCCCAGTTAAACTACCCACTAGCCATTTTTTCCCTTCTTCAAAAGTGAATAGGATAAGTACTAGCTCTATATCAGTAAAGGTGTTTCACCTGTGTACTAATGTACTACCTTCTACGCTACGCCTGATAAAAGCCGATACGATAGCTAGCTGCAGTAAAGCTGCATAGGGTCTTCCCGTCTGCCTGGACGTAAACCGCATCTTCACGGTTAATTCAATTTCACTGAGATACTAGGTGAGACAGCAAAGCCATCATTACTCTATTGATGCAGGACCACATTTAATGGCCAAGGAATTTCGCTCACTGAATATTAGCTCAGAATTACTTCTGAGGTTGGACTATATCATAACTCTATCGCAATAATTATTAATAAGTATATTGATAAAGTCTCCTACGATTAGTCTCTGAAGATTCAATAATAACAATATCTCAAATTAAGCATTTGTCATTACTATTGATTTCCTGCTAGTTTAATCACTCTCCCCGGGGGGCCGTGGATCATTTCTAGCAATTAGTAGGATTCTTGCAACTATAACATTACAAGGGCAGCTTTATTACATTATGATAACAATAGAACTATTCTAGTGTCACGATAATGTTGAGCAATATTCTACCTTAGGATCCTTATAGTTAAGACCGCCATTCACCAGAGGTTCATTCTAGTCTTTTTTGGACTAAAACTTATACTCATGGCATTGGGCAAGATTCAGCACCTATACAATATTGTTATATAGCAGATGCCTGTGTTTTAGGTAAACAGTTGTGGCTTTCGATTCTGTGTCACCAATTAGTTATTGGTCGTGCTTCTTATCGAATGTACGCACGCAATTTGCCGAGTTCCTTACCTAGTATTATCTCTACGCCTTAGTATTCTCTACCTACGAACCTGTGTCGGTTTAGGGTACGGTAAATAATGCATATTTTTCTTGAACCAAAGGTCATTTGGCTTTTCTGCATATTACTCATCAGGTCACAACATTAGTCATAACCCTTAGAGGCCGTTTTAAGCCATGGCTGTTTAACATTTCCATGGAACCCTCTCGTATTCGGCGAGAAGTATTATAACTTCTTTCTACGTTACTCATGTTAGCATTCTCTCTTCAGCTACGTCCAAATAATGAAACACTATTCTTCAACCGTGCTGAATGTTCCTCTACTCAACCATATACAATCAAATATCGAAGTATATGTTGGCATAGTTTCGGTAAATTATCTAGACCCGCTAATTTTCGGCGCGAACGTTCATTAGACTACTGAGTTGTTACACTATCATTAACAGGTGGCCACTACCGAGCCCACTGCATAGCTGTATTAGAACTTTCACTTCCTTAATTTCACTTAATAATTATTTTGGGACCTTAACTTATGCTCACGGCTGTTTCCGTCTCGACTACCCACCTTATCATGAGCAGTCTGAAATTTATTTACCAATTAACGTAATTCCGAGGTTAACTACCAATGATAGAGTTATACAACCCCCCAATTAAACTGGAAAACCAGTATGGTAATAAGTGCTGTACCTGCGTTAATCTACAATAAAGTCATACTAAAATATGTTTCGAGGAATACCAGCTATCTACTAGTCAGATTGGCCTTTCACCTACATTGCACAGCTCATCAGATAACACTGCAACGTTAACCTGTTCGGTCCATTATAAAACCTGGCCATGCAAAGATCACTAGTTTTCGGGTCTTATACTATTGACTATCTCGCATCTAATTTTACACGACTACATGGTAGCCGATAGATCAATCGCTTTCGCTGGGGTTTTAACCTTGCCAATAGCATAAACTTGCTACAATTATGTTATTCCACTATTTTCACATTGGATCAGACTATACTTTATACTATTATATTCACAAAGCAATAATAGTCGTTGACGTTACTTGTTTTTCCAAGTCATTGTTTATACAAATATGTTTATTCAATGAAGTCGTTACGGGGTAATTAAGTGCTAGCTTAAAAACTTCCCACGGTATTTCCTATTTCTAGAATTTCACCGTTATGAGTCAACTTATACGAAAGACTTCGCAGTCTTAAGGGGCTAACAATATATTTACCCATTATACAAAAGGTACCTTATCACTCGTAACTTTTCTCAAGTATAGAGCTCTAAGTGCTTATACGATTACTAATTCAGGTTCTATTTCACCAGTCATAGACTTACTTTTCATCTTTCCCTCACGGTACTTTCCACTATCGCTAAACACACATACTTAGCCTTAGAGGATGGTTCCCCTAATCATCTAATAAAAAATTAGACTATTCAAGCAGAATTTCCTCCACTTTACTTGTTATAGCATTATTGTCAATAGTATACAGGGCTATTACCTTCTATGGATTACTTTTTCCAAAGTATTCTACTATCAATCAATGTGCTAGGCTAAATCTGGTTTCGCTCGCCACTACTTCCAGAGTCTCGGTTGATTTCCTTTCCTACGGTTACTTAGATGTTTCAGTTCGCCGCGTAATATATATCTGGTTTCCCAATAGGATCGCTATAGTTCTATTATTATCCTAACGATGAGTTAGGCTATAGCTTTTGGTGTTTCCACCTCCTTTCATTGTGTGTTTGCTAGACATCCTTAATAATCGCTTTAATTACTTACACCTATTTCCATATTGTATGATACTTTTAGTTGTAGTGTTACCGCATATACAAATCCCTTTTATGAGGAATAGTAATGATGTTATGTAATTTGTTTCTATTAAATTACCAGAGACAAAAGACTAAGGGGATTATGTTGAATATTGTGACTTAGTGAAGATCGATAGCATCTTTCAGGTATGAACATACTAGAATTGAGAATACGTAAGCTTGGATCACAGAAACAGCTAGTTCTAATCCAATAAGTGCTACGAAGATAGCGAAAGGAATTAGAGTAACGAAAGCTACAAGGATACTTGTTGTGAACAGTTGTGCCAGGAATGTACTCAGAATTTTCAGTAGAGTGTGACCTGCCACCATGTTAGCGAATAGACGCACTCCAAGTGACACAGCACGTGCTAGGTATGAAATTAATTCGATAAGTACTAGTAGAGGTACTAGTGCTAGAGGTGTTCCTGAAGGAATAAAGAATGCAAAGAAGTGTACACCGTGTTTTTGCAGTCCTAGGATAGTAACACCAAGGAAAATGATTACAGATAGACCAATTGATACGATAACTGAAGTAGTTACTGTGAATCCGTAAGGTACGTTACCGTTAAGGTTAGCGATAATTACGAAGAAGAATAGAGAGTAAATAAATGGCACGTAAATTTCGTTTGCGGCTCCTACGTTATCCCGAACCATTGCGTGGATTGAGGCATAAGCACTTTCTAATGCGATTGACCATTTGCTAGGAATTAGTTTGTGGTTGTTGTTTGCAATAATGTGCAGTGACAGTACTAGGAATACTACGATAAGTGAGTATAGCCCTAGGTTTGTTAGTGAT